CCAGAAGGCTCAAGGACTTGGGGAGGGGTTGTCAAGCCTTGGTTCCTGTCCCTGCAGGACTTGCAGGCACACACCTATTTCTGGGCTTCAGTTTCCTCCTCTGTGATGGAAGAAGGCAAGACATATACAGAGACTTTCAAACTTGAATCCAACCTCTTGCTGCCCCCTCTCATCCCACCCCAGCCTCACGCAAGATCTTCACCCTAAACTCACCCAGAGGGCTCTTTCATGAAGAAAGGATTTCAGGGACCTTGGGGAGAGCGAGGGGGCAGGCCAGACTGAGCAGGCATGTAAGGACCAAAGCCAAAGGGTGCAGGGGCTCCGCAGCTGACATGCCCATGCCCCCTTTCCCCATTCACATGTCTCCACTAAAATCCTTCTACTAGTTGGTTTCTGTCCCACCCAGCAGAGGCTCCCAAGTCCGCATCTGCCTGGACATGCTCTGCGTGGGGCCTCAGCCACCTCCTCCCCATGTCCTCAGCAGACCATCACTCAGAGCAGGCTTCTTAGACCACTGTGACACACCACCAATCCCAGCTGCCTCCACGCTGTGTGCCAGGCACACTTCCTGCTCCTTGTCACTGTCCCCTGGGAAGCCAGGGGTCAGCTCTGGCTTCTGGCAAATTCTGACACTCAGCCCTGACCTTTGAGAAACAGCAGTGCCCATAGGTTGTAAATCAGCCAGCTCAGGACTCTGGGACCCTGAGCCCATGACTTAGCATCTTTGGGCCTCATTTTCTCATACGTAAAATGGGCCCATATCACAGGTACTGCAAACCTACTGTGTGTTAGGCTCTCGGCAGCTCCTCACTCTCCCAGGATACCCGTGCCATCTGCTTTGCCACACACACCGGCGGCCCTGGTAAATGCCACAAGAACTTGGTAGGGACTGGCTTGGAGCATTAAGCTCTCAGTGTAAGATGCACTAATTCTCCTGGGGATGCTGTGGCACTGGACACGAGAGAGCAGATGGGAGCGGACAATGCCTGGACAACCCCAGTACCATAGCTGGGCTCCACTCTGCAGAGGGAGCTCCAGACGAGAGTCTGGGGTCTGTCTAGCACTCAGTATGGCCTTGTAACTGGGCCTCCAGCAATAACTCTGAACTTTTCACTTGAAGAATGGGTGTCTCCAGGAAAACCTGTTCCCTGGGAGAGAGCAGCTGAGGGGGAAAGCGGACTGACCCCCCAGGCTCTGGTCCTCTTCTTCTGGAGTTCCCAGCATGGCTCTTGCTCCATGCCCCTCCCCTCCCCTCTTGGTTGTCCTCCATGTTGGCCTCTCTCTCTGCTGTACTGCCCACCTAGCCACTGGCCTTGGCTGGTACAGGTTCACCAGTAAGACAGGAGTTTCCTATGATGTGAACCTGTTCAGGGTTCACAGAGGCCTGTGGAAGAAGTGGGAAGGGGACAGGAGAGCAAGGGTACGGTGCTGGTGCCTTTGACGGACAAGCATTTATACGGACTTCCTGACTACAAGGCCTGTGCAAGATACAATGCCTGCCTCTGATGCACACTTCATATTGCCCAACCCCTCCGTCCCTCCCAGCATCCCAGGCCTAGTACCCCATCTCCCAACCCTGCGGGAGCCTCTAGCTTGAGCTGCAGGGCTTGATCCTGGGGCTATTCCTATTCTCCCAGGGCAGGGCTGCCTGGGGCAGCAGCTCTGAGCTAGCTGAGAGGGCTGGAGGGTCTGAGTCACAGCCAGGTCAAAGAACAGGACCAGAAGGACCAGCTGCCACTCCTGAAGCTGGGGTTCCAGGAGGAGGGACCAGAGGGAGGGAGGAGCCAGCAGGCCCCCTGCCCCTCCTCCCATCCACATGCTCCCAGCCCCGCCCTTCCACAGGCTGGCCTGGGAGAGCAGGCCCTTTGTTCCAGGCCCTCAGGAACCACGTGACACTTCGCTGTCACTGTCACTGCCTGGAACGAGGATGGCCACAGGAGCTCCCAGAGCCACATGAGTGAGCTCTGGGGGCTGTGAGGACAGGCAGTGCCCCCTTAGCCCCTGCCACAGGGACAGCGCACCACCCCTGCCTGCACGTGCAGGCAGCTCATGCCCACTCTCCAGGGACAACTGTGTCATCTGCTTTGTTCTGCACACCAGTGGCCCTGGACGAGGTACACGACCACTCACATAAGCCTGTGGTGTCGCTTGGCCCAAGCGCTAGCGTTTTCTTGGGATGCTACCGTGTGCGGGGGTGGGGGGTGGGGGGGTGGGAGGTGGGGGTGTCTTCCTACCCTTCACAGTTGGGGGCAGGCCCTGAAGGGTGACAGCCCATTGTTTATAAACAGATAGTGGCTGTCGCTAGGAGCTATGACTCAGCTAAGTGGTGACTCCTCCAAAAGCTGTTTACTCGGTACAACATCCTGTCCAGGAGGCTGACTGGGGCCCTGGCTCTGCTCCTCTTCTTTCCTGCTGCCCACGGACCTGACACTCAGGGTCCTGTGGGGGAGGGTGGGGTCAGCTCCACCACCCCCCACAACCACCTTCATCACACACAACAGGAACTGGGCCCATCAACAAGTCACTCAACACATGTTCCTATGGTTCACGCTGCACTGGTTTTGCTGAGACCAGGGTGAGTGTAGGCCTTGGGTTGTACCTATACCCCTCAGCTCTGACCCAAAGGCCCTGAGACAGTGGCACTACCAACATCCGCACCCTGCAGCCCAAACACAACGTTTACCCAAAGAGGTTTTGGAGATGGGGGTAGAGCTGAAGGCCCGGTCCCCTGTCAGGCCCTGCCTTTGGCACTTCTCAGTGAACACAAAACATTTCCTACCCAGCCTGGGCCCAACTTGAACCACAGTCATTATCTCCACTGGAAAGCTGGGAACAGGGAAGCCCTAAGAGGGCAAACAACCTGCCCGAGGTCACACAGCATATCAGTACCAAGTCCCAGGGGATGCTCAGACCCACTCAGTTCCCAGGACTGCCCACTTTCCTCTACTCTGAATCAAGTTAAAGATCACAAAATAGTTCTGCCTGGTGGCCACGACAGGTGTAAGGCTGCAGGTCCGTGTCACTGGGAGAGTGGACTGTCATGTGGATGAGGCCTGGGTTGGGATTCTAACTTCCATTAGCCCTCACCACCACCCCTAACCTGATTGGTGCCTAGCCTGGAGTCACAACTGTTAGGTCCAAAGGAGAAATATTTTCCACTCCCGCAGCAGTTCAGTTCGGTGATTTCAGGGTGCCCTCACTTACAAAAACCACCCAGTGCAGACACCACTGGATCACCACAATGTGTCAGGCAGAAAGGCTCCCTCACAGTCACACAGCAGAGAGAGTCATCCAACGCTGCGGCCGGCTGTAGCTGGTGCTCCCAGCCGCTCCCTCCCACAGTCCCTGCCTTTCTTAAAACGCCAAGGTTGCTTTTGTTCTCGAAGAGCCATCTGTGGGCAGGGTGAGCATCTCAGGGGCTCCCATGTTGTTTGAAGGGCCACGGAGCCTCCAAGTGACTTACAGGAAGTTTCATAGAGCCATGGGGTGTTGCCTTCTGCTCTGACTGGGAAGGTCTGGGTAACAGCAAGCACAGGCCACACCTGCCCACACCAGCATAGGAAACCTGGGAAAAGCCTAGGGAGACTGGCTCACCGCAGGGCTCCCCTGCTCTGGCTGCCTGCCCACTGGCTGGCCCTTCTACCAGACCACTGAGTCATGTGGTTTGCCAAGAAGGGGAGGGCCTGAGAATCTGTGCCCTGCCCTGGCCACTCCCACTGGCTTTGGGCCCAGCAAGATTCAGTACTGCCAAGAGCTTGAAGCTCCTCCCCATGGCAGACAGAGCTAGCTAGCTCTGCCTCCTGCCCCCAAGATGTCCTGCAAGTAGCCTCTGTCCAATTGGAAAGATCCGAGTGGCAGCTTCGAGCTGGGATCAGGACAAAATTCCAAACCACCTGATGATAGACAGCTGTTAGGTCTCTTTTCCTTGTTGGTCTTGGCCCACAAAAAGAGCTAATCTCTGCCTCAAACACGGTGCATGCTCAAAAGGAATACTCAATGGAAACACTTAGGACAGGGGGCCTCACATGGGCCACTTGTTCAGAAAAATGGTGCCCCAAAGCTGCCCAGGGTTGGTCCTCCCTGGGAAGAACCAGGCATTTTTGCTAATTCAGAGCTATGACACCTACATTGCAAAAACGTGACCTGAACGTGGCTTTGGTGACAAATGCCACAGTTTCTAAACCTCTTCAGTTTCTCTCCCTAACTGGGAAGGCAGCAGGATCCGTGGTGAGGTCTGGCCATCTGAGATCACAGGGGCCCTGGGCCACACAGCAGCTTACCCACATCAGCCTCATGACGTCTCCTGGCACCTGCTGGGTGCCTATTCAAGAGTTGGTGATAAGCCAACAACGGAACAGACATAAACCCTGCTGAGGAGCTGGGGGACATGGCTTGGTTGGTAGAGTGCTGCCTGGCAAGCAGATGGCCCCGGATTCGATCCCCAGCAAAGCATAAACTGGATAGGGTAGTGTACACCTATCATCCTAGCACTTGGGAGTTGGAGGACAGGAGAATCAGGAATTCAAGGGCATCTCTGGCTACATATGGAGTCGGAGGCCAGCCTGGGCTATACGAGACCCTGTTCTAAAACAAAAACAAATTCACAATTCTCCCCCAAATCCACCTCTGCCCCTGCAGCCCTAGGGCATTATGAACAAAATACAGGTTTAAAAGAGAGAATGTTATAGGGAAACAGACAGACAAACAGCAGCAGAACGGGGTGGGGACAGAGGAAGTCACTGCAATTCTGAACCAGCCAGGGAGCCCTACGCTTCATGGGCATGGCAGCTACCAGTGTCCTATCTCTCATCTATACCCACAGCTAGAGTGTGCGTGAAGGTGGAGACTTCCCATAAGTGTCAGCAGCAGGTAAAGGGATGCACACCTGCAGCCTCCCCTCCTCCCAGAACTGGAAGGGATGGGAGCTGGGGCTCTGTTCCCCGGCACGGCACCCGGCAGGGCTCCTGGCATCTCCCGGCACGGCACTGATGCATGAGTACCTGCATGAACAGGTGATCTGATGGCTCCTGGGCTTTCAAATTCCTGGCTATTCAGAACTCCTCAGGATCAGGAAGGCTTCATGGAGGAGGGAGGGCACGCTGTCTGCCCACCTACTCCCATGGAGGTGTTATCTTGCCCAGAGAGTGAGGCACAACGCTGAGGCTGCCGTGGGCCAGCAGAGGAAGGGAGAGGAGGCGGCAGCCAGGCTTTCTGGGAAGCAGGCACACTTTTCCTTAGAACAAGAGCAGGGCGCTTCCCAGAAATCAGCCTGCCCTGGGATGTCAAGTCAGCTCTGGTTCAGTGCCGGGTCTTCCTCCTTCCTGGCTGGCCAGAAACAGTTTTGGGGAGTGGGTCTCTGGCCACTGGCTAAGAAGAGGTTGTTCTGGTGCAGCTTGGCCTGAGCAGAGAAGCCCGCACCAAGGGATAGTTAGAGAGCCTGAAGAGGCGACAGATGAGGGAGCCCACAGCCAGGCCCTTGTGCCCCGCAGGCCATGGTTATACAGGGCTCAGGAACCACAGGAGTCAGGACAAACGGGCCCTTGTGGTGCAGGGGACTGTTTGCTGTGCCAGGGACACTGCGTGCCCAGAGCTGCCACCAGCCTGAAGCCCAGGGCTGGGAAGCACTTTCAGAAGGACCTCCCGAGTTGCCCTGGCCTCAAGAGGGCTCAAGACTCCCACTGGCTGCCGGGAGATGGCAGGGCTAGTGCCCACTGCCCTCTTTCCCACAGAACTTTGCCAGCAAGGCAGTTCCCCGAGCCTGGGGGCGGGTGACACTGCCTTGTCCTACCCTCCGGCTACCTGCTGGCTCTCGGCCAACACTTAGACTCTGTTCCTGCATTGGTGCTTTTCCCAAAGACAAGACTCTCAGATGTTCTGCTTCCATTTGTTCATAGCTGGGAACCTAACAAGGGAACAGCAAAGGGCCAGGCACCCCCTCCCGCTGGGGCCTGCCAGGGGCTGCCTGGGTCTTCACGCCCCCATCTGGTAAAAGAATGACTATGCAAGCACAGCACTGTGGGGCATTTTCTAGCCTCTGAAATGCCGGGTATCTAGGAATGATTATCAACATATGAACAGATCAGAAAATGGACACCGGACACTGGGGCAACGGAGGGCAAAGGCTCACATCCACACCCCACAGCTAGGATGTGATCAAGTATTCTCCCTCCCTTCAGCACTGGCCCCCCACGTATACACCTGTCCCTTTACATACGTACTGGCTCAGCCACCTGTAGTTCTGTCATGTCTGGGGACACACACACCAGCTGAGAACAATGACAAGGGCCTGTATTTACTCAAATGTGGGCCTGGGTATCTGAAGGCAGGGAGATGTTCCTCAGCCACTCCCGTGCACACAGAGCACACACTGATCCACACCCCCCACAAGGCAGCCAAAGACACAGCTGCTCCTTCTTGAAGGCCCAGGGGCCTGGGAGGTACAGCATCTTCCCCACAGGAGAGAGTGGGACCCGGTGGCTCACTCCCTCAGCCCCTACATCTGGCTTCTGTGCCCAGCACCTGTTCCTGGCAGGGCTGCTGGGAGCTACAGTAGTGGCAGCAAGCACTCTGTGAAAGGATTTCCTGGCCCTGGCTGCTGGGAAGGACACAACAATCCCAAAGATTTTGAGACTGAGTCTTAGCCCCTTCCCACTGGACTACCCGCCCACACGCTCCCTCCAGCCTCCAGCTGCCAGCTCTCTGGCCCTCAGGGCTTCAAGCCAGGTGAGACCGTTGCCTCGCTCTTAAAGTCTAACCTGGAGCATGGATGCTCAGAGGCCTGAAACGGGCCTGGGGAAGGCGGTGGATGATGACAAGGCCACTTCAAATGGCTCAGACAATAGACTCAACTTCTCAGGGTCCATCTGGGAAAATTTGTGGAGTCAATCAGGGCCTGCAGGTGTCCCTGCCTGTTGCCTGCTCCAAGGGCAGTCACTTCTGGAGAACCCTGTAGCCATCTGTCTTCAGTGCTGAGACAGACACACCCTGCACCTTTGGAAGGCCTGCTTGTGTGGTGACTGGTAGAGCGCCCCCCCCCCCCCCCCCCCCCCGCCATGCCACGTTTCTAAGCAGACCTGAGCAGGACCCCACGCCTCCATGACCTCCCCGGCACACTTAGAGACGTGGTATGTCTGTGAGGGCCACCTCTCCCCACTTCTCCCCATCTCCTTTGGTAATAAGAGACTGCAGATGGCACTCAAGAGAAATGGCTCTGCCCTCTGCAGGAGAGCAGACTCTAGGTTCCATCCCAGGTAGAGGGGAAGAGCAGGGAGGGGACCCATTCCTCCCGCCTAGCCCTGGGAGAGTGAGAAGCCTCTGTAAGGGGCAGGGCTACACGGCCAAGCAGGCAGAGCTGTGCAGAGGGTAGGGTGCCCAGGCAGAGGCGGTTTGGGGCTGCATGCTCTGGGTTCCATTCCCTCCATGCTGGCACAGCATGAACACGGACAGTCTTGGTCAGTGCTTACCCTGTTCTTGCTTCTCCCTTGGTCAACCCCCCACCAAGGGCTTGCCCAAATCCTGCCTCTGCCCCTCATGTGAACACAGCGAGTGTTGGAGCCTCCCAACTCTGGAGGGGTGCACACCCTCTGGTCTGACACATCAGGTGAGCAGAGCTCAGATCAGAGGACAGGATGTAGGCCAAGGTTATCCAGTAGGAAAACGGGCAAGTCTGGCTCCCCCCTGGGGCAAGGAGTCACCACCATCTCACAGTCTGCTGCCACACCCACGTGTGGAGCATGTCTGGAGGTCATCTCTCCTATCTACGCTATTCTAAAGTCCACCCTATGCCTCCAGCCCCATCGGGCCCTCCGCACCCCGGGTGGCCAGAGGCCTCCTCTCTTCCAGCTATGCTGGCCTCTACTCCTCTGATGTCCTCGGGCAGCCTTCTTCAAGCGCAGGGTTGGGCTCCACAAGGGAACACAGCACCTAAGGGGACATACACCCCCTTGCAGGGAAGGCAGGAGGAGCAATTTTCTTGCAGAAAGGGAAGGAGAAGGAGAGAGGACACAGACAGGTGTGAAGGATGGCGGCGCACACCTTTAGTCCCAGCAGTCAGGAGGTTGAGGCAGGCAGATCTCTGTGAGTTCAAGGGCAGCCTGGTCTACATGGGCACACCTTTCTCAAAAAAAAAAAAAAAATATATATATATATATATATATATATATGTATACGTATATATATGTATATATATACACACACACAAACAAAAACCAGACTGGCTCAGCAATCATTTCAGGATATCCAGGACTACACTCTAGCTGGGATTCAAGCCTGGGGTCCAGCTCCACAGCCAGTGTACCCAAAGCCTCACCTGAAGCCCTGAAATCTGCCCGCTGAGATGGACTGAGGCAAGTGGAGGCCGTGGGCCCAACGTCTCACTTCCCATGTAAGTCCCCAGCACGTGACATAACTCACAGTGTTTATGTACAGAATGAGCTCACAGGCAAGGGAGCTGATGAACCACAGATGGAGAAATGATCAGTAAGGAGGGATATGCTGGGCTCATCTGGATAGTTAGTTAGTTGGTTCAGAATCACAGTCTTGTATTCCAGGAGCTCCAGGGGGCTCTCGGTCCTTGCCACACCTGCTGTGCCACCTAGCCCCAGGTCCAGGGAATCCAGGGCTACAGGGTATGTGTCCTTCCTGTATGGCTGACACTAGGCTACAACTGTACCTTTTATTCTAAATTTTCTGACGTTCTATCACTGCCCAGCTGTCACTCAGGTATCCAGGAAAGGGCCTCTGTTGCTAGGGGATGGCCTGATCCTGGCAGCTGCAGCTTGGGGTGATGGGCAGAGGGAACAGACTTGGGGTTTCCCTCAGGAAGGATCCAGGGGGCGAGGGCTGCTAGGTCCTGTGCAGAGGGTGTGGGTGGATCAACCATGAGAGGTACCCAAGCAAATTCAGAACTAAGGGCCACACACAGGCTGTGGGAAAGCCCCTAGCTGGGAGCCTTCCTGCAGGTATTTTGGGGGACTGCAGTTGCCAAGCAACTGTGTTAGGTTGCCATGGGAACTCTCTCTTATTCTGGGTCTTGTCATTTTTAGGGGAAATGCCATAATCCTTCATCTCTACCTCCTCAGGCGGGCTTAGCTACCTGTAAACGGACCTGGAGGTTCTGCCAAACCCACCCCACTTACAAGGAAGCCACCTATCCACACCTCTAAGAAAAGACTCCTCAGAGTTGGTTTGTTTATTTATTTATTTATTTATTTTGAGGCACGGGTCTCACAATGTACCTCAGGATGATGTTCTTTGAACTCAATTCTCCTGCCTCAGCTGGGATTACAGGAGTGGGCCCCTGTGACACTGTGAGAGAGGATTCTTTTGAGGCTCGAAACCCAAGAACCCCAACAAAACACAGACAGCAGAGTTGAGGCCCTCATTAGAGTTAGAGGGATGAAAAAACTGTTCAGGTTTGTTTACATCTCCATTCCTGCTAATCACCACCTCAGGGCCTTCCCGCTTAGCCAGGGCTCTGACCACTGGAAGCCCAGTGTAATTGGAAGGCATTCTTGGCCCTGGCCCCTGGCGCCTGACCCCTCCCTGGCTTGTCTGCAAAGGAGTGCCACCTGGGGCTTGCCATTACCCAGCTAGGGTTGTCCCCATATCCGGTCAACCCCTTCCCTCAGAGAATGCAGAGCTGCTACAGTGCAGAGTCAAGGGACCAGTGGTGTAAGGGGCTGTCAGGACTCCCAGCACTCCCCTGCAGAGCAGTTCCTTCCCGGCATGGGATCCTCACCCACCATACTTTTGGATGACAGACTGAAGCTGAGCCCAGGCACTGAGGTCTCAGTCACACCCTCTCCCGTCAGACCAGCTGTTGGCCCCATATTCCTGCCCTGTGTGATGGCTTGTTGGGTAACAAGCTGAGGCGCTCTCCACCTGAGGCCACATGCACACAGTTCTCCATTAACTGCTTTGTTAACTGATTGGGTCAGTGGACCACTTACGATGAGCTCAGGGCTAAGACTGTACCCAGTAGCATTTATACGGGGGTGCGGGCAAAAAAGGGTGACAGTGAGAAATGGCCTCCACTCCAGATATTCCGCCCTACCTCACCTATCTACTGGAGCCCATTTCACATGTCTTAACCACCCTGCATACCAACGGGCATTTGAGAAGGCTGCGCTGTAACCTGCCAGGGGCAGCAGGGCAGGCTAGGTAGCCATGCCTCCTGTGGGACAGTGAAATTGCTGCGGCAAGGTCCCTTCCAGTCACGCACTGCATAGGCAGCCCACCTTTCCCTAAGGCTACTTTCCGAAGCCTTCCAGACCTGGGTCTTGTGGTCAGGAGAGTTCTCTGGAACCCACAGGTAGGCCAGGGCAACTTACGGGTGAAGAAGGGAGCAAAGTCCTGGCCCGAAGGTGTGTGTG